ATTTTCAAGCCCACCTTGACGTTTTTTATATTTTATATTTACATCTAATATAATATCTGTACAAATCAATAATTCGATTAAAATTATGATACAGGGTAGGCTATATTTTTTACAATTAGGTAAAACTTATTTTTTCCGTGCAGTTAAATAATTTGAATGAGAATTATACTTAGTTCTGAGACAAACGAAATTTGAATAATTCAAACCGCAGAGACTGGGGATATATTTATTATAACAATTAATCCGATGAATAATGACTAGACAGTATGAAAATAACGGATTGTTTTGACTGCTAGTCTGGGAAATGTATTAGCATGAGTAGGACGAAGTTATTGTTTATTAATAAACGGATTGGAAATTGAAAAATACGGGAATAAATTAAGATTGTCGTTTGAATGGATTGATTTAAACACGTGTAAAATCAATTGGGTTAATTATGAGTTAAATATACAGGGTATACAAAGGAATAAATGTGAAATATCAAAAAGTATTTTTCATAACATACTTGTAAAAGTTGTGTATGTATGTTTATACGTTCCACCATAAGGCTCTGATAAAATTACAAGAACAATACAACACAATAAGCCAGCATCTGAGACGGTTTTACAAAGGTTAATTCCATCTCCGATATCAGTCTTACCAAACTTCATGGCACAAATGGTTGTCGTCTCGGCACACTCAGTGATGAGGTGTTCTGATGTTTCCCCATTTTCCCCAAAGAATCTGCATTCGCCGTTGTTTCTTAGCTGCAATTTACTGAGGTGTTCGTTGAGGAGACAGTTTCCTGTTAAACACCCCGTGACAATCCGAGGATTGTTCTTACTTAAATTCTAATTTATTAAACCCAAAAAATCTAATTTCTTAAAAAGTCAATCTTTTATTTTTCTCGGTCGTAAGTTCTGAGAAATTTCTTCGAGTGTCTTAGACGGTTGGATGGTCCAGGTTACGGATGGAGTCTTCCAGGTTCTTGAGTTCCGCTTTAAGTTGGTTTCCACTTGGAAACCAGAACGGTTCTGGTACAGTTAGTGGAGTGTTTGCTACTTTTCCAGCTAGATTGTTTGCCTCTTCGTTGCCTTCAATCTCTTCGTCGACTGGTACCCAGAGTGGCAGGACTTTATTATCTTTGTCTTTTTTTCTTTTTTTTTTTATTTTATTAGATGAAGCCTGGCGCATCCGCCACGACACCAGGAAAAAAATACTTTTTTTTTTTTTTAATTTAACTGACTCTCTATTTCCAGTAGTTTCCGAGATACCCATAGAGAAAATCCTAGGAAACTCACCCTATATAGGGACTAATAAAACACATATTCAATTAATTTTCCAAAAAAGAATTAAAAATTGATCTTTTGGTGTTGTATTTAAAAAATAGAGATATAGAGGGTGGTCCGAGCAGTATTCCGGAAACTCAGCATATTCTGCAGATAAAAATAAGTAAAAAAGTTCGTATAAATGTATGTCCTAAAATGCTTAGTTTAGGAGATACAGGATGTAGAAGTTTCATTTTTATTTTTTTTCCAAATAATTTCTAAAGTAACGTCAATAGTTGGGTAAAAATAGGTGTCTTGGAGTTTTTTGATATGAGAAATTTGATTTTGATATCTATATGACTCCTACATGTAGAGGGCGCCACTTACATATTTTAACTGGTTTGAAGAGTAATAACTTTTTGTCCGTACCTGTATAAAGCTACTGAGTAAAAAATATACATTTACGACGTTTTTTACGTAAAAGAGATATCTTGGTAAAAATCGCTACGCGTAATGGCTCTCGAGATAATTAGAATCTAAATGATCAATACCTGTCGTCAATGACATCACAACCAAACCAAACAAAAAATCCAGCGACGACAGTTTTTAGAAGAGCCAATTAGCTATCTTTTAGTAAAAAAGCAACTTTCTAGGGCAAGTCGTTACTTCAATAGAGACGACACAGATAAACATTAGCATTTTATATATGTAGATATTTGCCTTTTATTTGTTCAGCTTCTCTAGGTATTCTTTGACCAACTTCGACTTGATGGTTACTGAGTTGATAGCTTTTAATGCTCTTTGACTACCGGGTGTGCCATTTTAAAACTGTTTACCGGAATTGTTCACCGCAAACTAGATTGCTACTAAAAGTTTCTAAAAGATCTTCTCTATTCTATTATTCTCTTTCTTCTCTATTTATAAATAGTTCCTTCTCTAAGTACACATCATCTTTAAACATATCAGTTATATGCATAAACATGAGACATGTAACATCTGCGTCTTGTTGCTTTATGTGTTATTTTTTCCTAACATTAAGCTTAATATTTGATATAATAAAAAAACTCATAGATAACGTCCATCGCCTCGTCATGGTAATCAACGTTACCGTCCTCTACCCGGTTCTTAATAGCGCTTAATAGTAATTAATACAAATACAACAGCCGAAAAAAGAATCGTAGCGGGGCATTCATTATATATACGATCACCTGTATAGGACCTGTAGACCGATGTTCGGCTTCGAGAGAATATCAAAGCCCGAGCTGACCCTCGTACCTACCTGATGGTGTTAGAACAATAATTACAAACGACGGGATGCCAGCATCTTCAAAAGATGCGCCAACACATTATTATAATTATACCATTTCGGCTGTTTGAACAGACCATTATGGTGAAAACCATTATTTGTTGGTTTTTGTGTGAATAAATCGGTGGTTCTTTGAAAAACGGCCGGTCGTAGAAGAACGTCCGTCGTGTCGATACGATTCATTTGGGGAGGGGATGGGAGTCGGGGTGTAACAGGTTCTCGGAGTTGATTGACAAGTTTGGGTACTTTTGTGGTTGTTAAATTGACCTTAACTAAGCACGCGGGATTAGTTTTTCAAGGGTTGGCTGGTTGGTTATTGACTTTTTATATAGATGTCATTCTATAGTTATTTAAACAGTGAAATGGTTTCATTCTTGAGACTCGCCTGATTTTGTCACGGTAACATTACAGTTTCAGCTGACATTCAGGCAGTGTCAGTCTATACGTTTATTTTATTTTTATTGTAAAGAGTTTTTTAATAGTAACGCTCGATTTTTGGCAACAGCACATGACGAAGTCGCTAGTCACACAGGTCCTATCTTTGGTAGTCTTATTCAATTAGTCTCCGCCTTTTATTTTACATCACTGAGCAACGTGTCGAAATTGTTAAAAACTATTATCAAAACGAATGTTCTGTTCGGCAAACATTTCGTGCAATTTATGGTGATAACGATCATCCTTCAGAATCCACAATTCGCCGTTTAATAAACAAATTCGAAAAAACTGTGGCAGATCAGAAAGTGCCCGTACATCAGCGTAACGCAAGATACCTTGAAAATATTGCTCTCGTGTAAATATAGTCCATTCCGCGTCGGGCTCAAGAAGTTGGCCTGTCTTCGACGACAACTTGGCGAATCCTGCATAAAGACTTAGAGCTTCACCTTTATAAAGTGCAATTAACCCAAGAACTAAAGCTTAACGATCATAGGCAGCGGCATACATTTGCTAATTGTTATATCACAAAATGGTGTTGTTAATTGGCCGCCCAAATTCTGCAACTTAACGCCACTGGACTTTTTTCTCTGGGGCTTTCTCCAAAATTCATCCTGACAAGAAATCCAAAATTCATCCTGACAAACCTCGAACGGTTGCCACATTAAAGGCGAACATTAGGCGCCTTATTGCCGAAATTGAGTCACTTTTATGCAATAACGTCATTATAAATTGGGTATCCAGGATTCAACAGACCAGACAAGGCCGCGGCGGACTTTTATCTTATAAAATTTTTAAAACATATTGTTAACACGTATACTTTATAAAAAAATTGATGACTATCGTTCTCACAATTAGTTTTATTCACTGAGAGAAAAAACATTGTAAAATCAAAAAAAATGCTAATGAATCAAATAAAGTCTATTCTAAAAATCTAAATATAAATAAAAACTAAACCAAACCAAAACATATTTTGGCCTCATTAATGGTCATAATTGAATTAACAAGACATTTATTGATTTAATGCATATACTTGTACATATAAAACAATAAGGAAATGCCAATTTATTTTGAACGTGGTTCTTTTAAAACATAGGTACATGAACAGCGAAATCGTTTCATTAACTAAAGGACTAAATATTAGATATCCGATAAAATAGTATTCACTTTATTTCGAATGCTTTAATTTTTATTATGTATATAAAACAATATTATATTATTAGCAATCGTTTATGAAACAAATAATTAGGTAAATCGAATTCCATAGAACGAGTTAATTATTTTAACGTGATTTATTATGCATTTTACAATGCACTTTTTTTCTGTGTTGCGTTACAAAAATCGAGCGCTTCTAATGGAAAATATTTTATTAAAATGTAACTATACAGTTTTTAAACAAGTGAGCAGTCAAAACCAAAAAAAAAAATGGTATAACTTATAGTCTAAAGATATTGGCACCATATGACCATATGACACATATGAACTATAGCTGAGTAGCCTTCCGAATCCAGGGACTTCAGTACTTGCAGATGGCGACCTGGTAACTAAAAAAAACTCTTCAGTTATGAATGTTTAAGTGTGTTAAACTTCCAAACTTGGTATGAGGACAGTATAGTTGTATTATTATTATTTCTCTTTGATTAAAATTCAGAACAGCAAAGTTGGATTCTTTGGAATATTGATCAAGGTTTTCTCTGCCGTGCCCTCGGGAAAGACAGTCCTCAGAATTAACAACATTAACTTGGTGGTAGAACAAGTATCGTCCATAAAGTATCTAGGAGCCCTAGTCAACGACGCTTACGATCCCAAAACTGAAATTTTAGCGAAGATCGAAAAGGCCAGACGTACGTTTGCTTCCATGAAAACTCTCTTCTCCGGCCGAGATCTAAGCCGCAAACGTATGCTGCGTTGCTACATCTTTCCAGTATTTCTCTACGGCTCTGAGAGTTGGACACTCAATCAGACATTGGAAAACCGCATTAACGTCTTTGAGATGTATTTATATCGTCGTATGGATGGATAGAGTGACAAATGAGGAGGTACTCAGGCGGATGAGCAAAGATAGAGAACTCCTATCAACAGTGAAGGAAAGGAAATTACAGTACGTCGTTCACATCATGAGGGATAATCGATACGAGGTGCTCAGACTGGTCATCGAAGGCAAAATTGAGGGCAGGAGATCAGTGGGAAGAAGGCAAAACTCCTGGCTTAAGGATCTGCGTCGTTGGTTTGGAAGAACATTGATCGAAATTTTCAGAGGTGTGGTTTCACACACCATCATGGCCAGTTGGGTCGCCAACCTTCGAAGGGAGACGGCAGTCTTAGAAGAAGAAGTAGGGCTATTTACAAATTTAGCGATTGATTTACATAACCTATTCTCCTCAAATTTCCCTATTATTGCTTCTGTCCAGCGCATCCGAGGTAAGTCACATTAAAACATATTTTTAACACAACGTAGGTTCCTTTATTGCATTTAAATTGTTTGTTATACAGTTAGCCAAAATATTGCCCCTTCAACATTGTTGAACGACCCTGTGTTGATATACTACACTTCAAATCTGGAATTTTAGTTAATGTTTAGCCTATAATATGTTGATTGAGTGTCAAGTTTTCTTTTACTAATTCTCGTTTTCTTTAACTTATGTTTGGTTTTTGATTATGATTGCCTTGAATATCTTGGAATTATTAGTTTTTTAATTTCGATCGGTCATCAATATTCTAAGGTACCTACTTTTTGAAGCCTCATAAACTTCCAATTTTATGTTGTTTTTAACGTTTAACTTACTAAAAATCCGTCTATACACTTTTTCGATATTTTTTCCTGGAGAATGACCCATTATATTAATAACGCCGTGTGTGTATTTTACTAAATTATAGGTTTCGAATGCTTTTGTGTTCCTCCGGTTGAAAGAAATAGCTATTTCATAGATTAAAGCACACGGACTGGAGGTGAATGTGGCCTAAAAAACGTAGCTATTAACCCAACGCCCGTAGAATGTACTTTAGTGCATTCATTTTTTGCAGTTTTGTTGTCGTTTTGCATGACATTACAACCGCGGATCGTTAAAAAACGGTATCGTTTTGCAGCCATCCTTTCGTGACCGAAGACTTCTTTTAATTACAAAAGAGCATTTTAACGTCATTTTATTACTGTCAATGATCTGGATATTTTTTTTTAAATCAGCGTTTTCTGGTTTTGTTTTGTTTCACATTAGTTACAATTCTTTTGCCCTTGATACAATTAAGACTATCAATAAAATTCAGTAAGATAGAAATTTAATAGAAGGAAATTCAGTTATCTCGTTAGGTAAGATCCCGTTGGGACAAATGCCCAAGTTTATTTCTGTCTGGGTACCACACAACTAAATACAGCTAGCAATAAAGTAAGTCTCAAAATGAATTTAGGAAAAACTGGAAGTAATATACAACGAACTAGTAAACAGAAAATACACACATTCTAATAAACACAACATTGGAAATACTGAAAACTAATACACAGCTCGCGATCTCTACTACCAGAAATTAATAGAAGAACTAAGTTAGCATGGAGTACTTATGGGAAAAACTCAATCGTCTTCAAATCTAGAATGCTTTTTTATTTAAAAAAGAAAAAAAATCGGCCAATGTGTACTACCAGTCATGACCTCTGCAATACATAGTATGCATACGAAACCTGGACACTTAAAACGGATATTATAAGAAAACTGCAATTCGCACAACGTTCAATGGAACGAAATATGCTGGAAATAACCAAAAAAGACTGTAAAAGAATAGAGTGGATACAAAAAAAGACCCAGGTAATAGATATCATCCACAGAATCAAATCCCACAAGTGACAATGGGCAGGACACCTGGTATGAAGGACGGACAACAGATGGACCACAAAAATTATAGCATGGTACCCACGAGGAATTAAGAGACCTAGAAGAAGACCAAACTTGATATGGGTCCATGATATTAGGAAATTAGCAGGGATAACTTGAGCCCGCTTAGCCAACAATAGACATCAATGAGCCAAAATTGAATTTTGCGGACCATATTAATAAAACCATCACCAGGGCCGAGAAAACTGTCACTGCTTTAGCCTTACTCATGCCAAATGTAGGAAGTGCTAGAGCATCCAAAAGAAGAGTACTTGCTAGTGTGGTACACTCGCAGCTGTTGTATGCTGCACAAATGCAAAGACTACGCAGAATACAACGCATTATGTCTATCAGGGTATGCAGCACATACAAAACTGTATCTGGAGAGGCTATAGAAGTTATAGCTGAAATAGAGCCTATTGATCTGCTCATATATACAGGAACGATATGATAGATACAATGAGATGGATAAAAATCTAGCAAGGGCAAAACTTCTCCAACAGTGGCAAGAGAAATGGAATAACGGAATATATGGCAGATGGACTAACAGGTTAATACCCGACATACAACTATGGTTAAACAGACTATATGGAGAAGTCGATTACTTCATGAGTCAAGTATTCTCTGACCGTGGGTGTTTTAGAAATTATTTATACGAACGTCGGTAGGGTTGATAGTGCATCATGCATCTACTGTGGTCAAGATGATGATGTTTAACATACACTATTTGCGTGTGAACGATGGCAGGTCCTTAGGGAACAATTCCGTATAGAAACCGGGAGATACTTTGACTTACCCGCATTTATGATATACCTAGTTAAAGGGGAAGTACAATGGAAGCTAGTATATGGGATAGTCCGAAATATAATAAGTTGTAAAGAGATGGACGAACATCATATATCTATAGACACCCTTTGCACTGAAGCAATGCCAGAGCAAATTCCAGTGTAAAGTGGTAGTCGGAGGAGGGTTTTTTAGCCAGTAAGAATCTGGCACTACCTAACTGTGAGTGTCTTATGCAAGATTTTTTCCCTCCTCACTTCACAAAAAAAAGATAGCAATGGGCCCAACTACAAAGAGAGTATCTAAATATGTGAGGGCGGCTACACCATAATTGAGAATGGTTGAATAAGCTGAGAATGATGCTGATGATAATGATGATAATCCCATCATCTCGTTGAGGATAGCCAACAACAGTACTCCAGCGTAAATCAGTACTCCATGAAATTAAGCTAAGACTAACCATAATCAATGCAATGCACTCTTTTCCATTTGCTAAATAAATTATCACTAAATCTTCTTTCCCTCCGAGAATAACATCAGAATAGGGTTGTAAGGTTAGTTTGTAGTTTCTAGGGTTAATCCTTATTCCAGAAGAACTAAATTTGAATAAATTTTATAAATTTAAAAATACTGAAAAGTTTCTCTTTCTTAAGACGGAGTGACTCTGTCGGAAAACAGTGTAATATACTGCGATTAAGAATTTTATTGATATCGTGCTGCATATAAACTCCAACACCAATATTTACGTCTTCTTCGGTGCGAGTATTCCTCGCCGACTCTCGGTAATCAGATAATTCAGATCTCATTAATCTCATCATCTCGTTGAGTGAAGGAAAATTAAGGAGAGCCAACAGTATTCCAACGTAATCTCCATGAACTTAAGCCGTGACAATCGCGCGGCATTATTTATGTCTATCTACATAGTAAACCTTAATGAATGCAATCAATAGCACTATTCTCCATTTACTAAATCAATAATTACTAAATCTTGTTTCACTTCGAGAAGGGCATCAGAATAGAGCTCCAAATTTCTTACTCCAGAAGAACTAAATTTGAATAAATTTCGGAAATATAAAAATACTGAAAATATTCTTTCTTAAGACAAAGTGACTCTATCGGAAAACAGTGTGTAGTGTACTGTGATTAAGAATATTATTGATATCGTGCTGCACATAAACTCCAAGACCAATATTTACGTCTTCCTCGGTGCGAGTATTCCTCGCCGTCTCTCGGTAATCAGATAATTCAGATCTCATTAATCCCATCATCTCGTTGAGTGAGGGAAAATTAAGGAGAGCCAACAGTACTCCAACGTAATCTCCATGAATTTAAGCCGTGACAATCGCGCGGCATTATTTATGTCTACCTACCACAGAGCGGCCGCGGCCTCAGCCGACCTCAAACGCCGCAATTAATAATGCCCTTTTCCATTTTCTAAAAGCAATTCCCGCTCGGATGGATCCCATTATCATTTTTGAAATTCCAATACGATTTAAATTAGTTAATAAATTTACATGCAATTTAGAATTTACACACTTCACACCTGCGTTCTTTTAGGCCGTGCCGCTAGTTTCAATCTTCGTTATGACAGTGCACTTTTGGCCTTTTCCTTTATCTTCTTCGGAGATCAGAGGCGTACGTCGGCCGATGCTACACACCATGAAATCTCGCGTTAATGTGTTGGACAAAGATATGAAAAGTTTTTGTTTGTGCAGTTTCATACTACATACTACACCATGCTATTTAAAAGGAAATCACGGAAAAAACATCAAGACCACCCAATACCACCCAATATCATAAAGTATCATAGCTCGGAGTAGAATTTTTGGGCTAAAAACATGAAATTTATTGAAATACTTGTTTATCCTTTGTTGATACCTGTAGTTTATATTGTTATACCGGGTGCGTTTCAATAGTGGCTCACCCCCTATAACTTTTTTATTTTTTCAGATAGAAAAACGATATTTGGTATGTTAGTATATGACATAAATTAGGATTGACTGATGTATTCAATTGTTTTCGGTCTTTCGACTACAACTTTTGATTTTTAAATGGCACCCTCGGTTTTTTTTTACTTTATTCGATAGAAAATAACATTCTGAATAGAATGCCATATCGTATGTCAACTTTTAACATTTTCGCATATGGTCTATTTGAAATTATAACTTGCGGTTCGTAACGAAAATTTGATTCGAAATACTAAGTATTTCTGAAAAATCTGAAAAAATATATAAACTGTGGAAGAGATCAAACTAAATATTAGCAATAATCACAGTTATTTTTTTCCGTTAATAGTCTAAATTGTGGGAAGCCCTCGAGAAAACGAATATCAGCATAACATTAATTAGGGCGGTCCAAGAACTTTATAAGAGCAACACTAGCCAAGTAAAGAAAGGACAAACAGTATCAAAGGGATTCAGCATAAACAAAGATCTTAAACAGGGCGGCTGTCTATCGCCGACACTGTTTAAAATCTATTTGGAACAAGCTCTGAAAACGTGGAAATGGAAGTGCGAACTGATGGAGATACCACTAAACGACTCGATACTTTACACTCTTTGTTTCGGTGATGATCAAATAATACTGGCTCAAGACTATGAGGACCTGGAATATATGACCCGCAAACTAATTGAAGAGTATCACAAGTGGGGGCTGGAGGTAAACCTTAATAAGACGGAATATATGTGTATCGGCGGCGAACAACAGAACTTAATCCTAGAACAGCAACAGCAAGAGATAAAACACTGCCAAAAATATAAATATCTGGGCATGCACATTACCAACGATGGTAGCCTTGATGAAGAAATTAAGTGCATAAACAACCAGGGAAAACAAGCAATTAGACAACTCAACAGCATTTTATGGAATAAGGCCATATCAAAAGAAAACAAACACAAAATTTATAACGGCATAGTTAAAAGCATCATTAGTTATTGTAGTGAAGTATGGTCTTTGAAAGAAAGAAACCTTTAAGTATTCGAAGCTATAGAAATGGACTTTTGGAGGCGCGCGGCCGGGAAATCGAAACCGGATAGAGTAAGAAATGAAAGAATTCAGAACATCATGGGCGTGAAACAGAGAAAATCAGAGGACATCAAAATTAACCAACTCAAGTGGTACGGGCACGTACAAAGAATGGAAGAGAGCAGAATCCCGAAGAAAATACTCAATTGGACACCACAAGGCAAACGAAAGAGAGGGAGACCTAGACGGAGTCGGAGAGGAGGAATAGAAGGGGACATCAGAACAAGAGGAATAGATGAAAACCTCTGGACAGACAGAGACCAATGGAGACTGGAAATCAAAAGACGGCGAAGAACGTTATGAACTGATTTGTATATATATTTAGTCCGAAAAAATTTGGATTTTTTGTAATTTTTTACCAGCGTTGATCATTTTCAGACTTTCTTATTCAGTATTTTTAACGTGAAACATTTACAACAAAAAGTAGATCTTTCTAAGCTGATTAAGCAACTAAAGCACCTTTTTGACTCCTGCTAGGAACCCGCCAATGCACGGCTGCACTCGAGATGCTCCGCTGCAACTAAATCTCATTCGGTTCGGCGGTAGACAGGCCGGAACCGGCCACGTTTTCATCCTTATCTTCTCTTTCTCTCGACTATTAAGGGCGGGATTGTACTGTTTATACGCCATTTAAGAAGTTTAATTTTTTCTCGACCGGTCGTCATCGGGAAGAGAGAAGAAAAGTCGAGTTAGTCCATTGTGGCCGACGTAAAAATGCCGCTTGTAAAGGCGGAAAGTTTGTTGTGTGTGTGCGAGCGAAGCTTTGTTTTCGATCAAGACTCTTTAATTTTATTTCAAAGGGCGGTAATTTGTTAAGAACGAAAGGGATTATTAAATCGTAAGATGCTTTCCGCATACTAATTTAAAATATTAAATTCTGTCTCGTTTGGTTTTCGTTCTTCTTTTCATGGAATTTTATATCGTGATCTTAGGTCAGATGTTTTGTAACATAAATTTTTGTGCATATCATGTAACCACAAACGTCTTGTAAGGTAACAAACATGCGAAACGAGTAAATATGTCGAGCTATATGATTAGGTTATTGTGAGGTTAGAAAAATGGCACAAACGGTTGTAGAGGTGTTCGTTATTTTCTAGTCATATACCTTCTTTTTGAAAGAAAAGAAACCGTTATCAACATACATACCTATATACAGAGAAGACCAGGCTACTAGTAATATAGCAAGTTGCCGGACGAATTTGCGTTTACCCGATTGCGTTCGTACTTGAGATTCACTGCTAGTCGGCTGGTCAGGCAGTGCGCAGTTGCAGTTGTGCTTGGACGGGTCGGTCGTGACAGACTAGGAATACGACGAGAGGAGTGCCGAGTATTTATTATTTTCATTTTAAGTGTTTACCTTCACTTAAGGTAAAATTTTAAATAAAAATACTTAAATATTTATTATTTGAGTGTGTTTACAAGCCAAAACTAAAAATAAATAAATTCTCTAAACCCAAAACTCATTTCCAATATTAAAAAAAAAACTAAAATATTACTCTAAATAAAAGTTATAACAAGTGTTCAAAAAGACCACCTTCTTGTGCTAGACAGAAGCCTAGGCGGTCGTAAAATCCCCGTCTGACATTGGCTAACATATTAGGGCTAATAATTTGGAAAGCCTCTCGTATTTTTACTTGAAGCTCATCCAGATTATTAGCCCTATTATGACCATACACTTTGGATTTTACATAACCCCACAAAAAGAAATCATTGGGAGAAAGATCTGGTGATCTAGCGGGCCACAAAATAGTTCCATGTCCGATAATTAAACGGTTGGGAAAAGTGTTGTTCAAATATTCTTGAAGGAAAACTTGATTCGTCGGTGAAAACTATACGCCGAATAAAGTTTTCATCTAAATTGGCCTTTTCCATTACAGATTCACAAAACGCCATACGCAGAAATTGGTCTTCGTGGAAAATTTCTTGAGTTTTGCGCGCTTTATACGATCGGTATCCATTGTTTTTAAGGACTCTTTTAACCGTGCTAGATGGAGAATCTGTTACCTCAGCAATTTGATTACTTGAAAACGTGGGATTTTGATCCGCGGTAGCACAAATGAACACTTGCTTTAACTCGGAAGAAATCAAGAAGATGGCTTTTATGTATAATGTTCTAAACACCTTTAGTCAGATCAGAAAAGATATTATGAAAATTAGGAAGTCTCGTCAGTAATTTGAAAGAGATGACGATAGAATGATTTCGTAAGTTTAGTGTATTAGTGCCCCGAGGCGTAGAGGTACAGCTCTCCAATTCAAAGGTTGTTGTTCGGGGTTTAATAATAAACCTACTATTTTCTCTTATCGTCGTTTATTTGCAAAAAAACTTATAATTAACGTAGAGCCTCCTAAGTGACAATTATGTGACAACTACTCGGACTCGGCTATCACAACGTCAATCTGGCGCACAAATGAATGTGAGGTTGTCGCAGTTTACTTTAAATCCTTAACAGTTGTGGGTTCGAATCCTACAGCCGGTCATTTCCTAAAGCCAGTCATCAGCCGACTATTTTTAATAAAATAAAAATAGTTTGGGTACCTAGGTCGACTCAGCCTTAAATGAGTACTTGGGATTTACAATCCTGAGGTAATAATAGGCGGTTGAAGCGTAATGCTAACTACATTACCTTCCTTGTATACCGAACGATTCTAGTATGGCAAGCTATACCTTGCTACTCCCACGGCGTTAAACGCTATATACAGGAGCTATTATTATATTAGTGTATTAGTAAGGTAATTTATGAAATAGTTTTAGTTACTATGTTATCTTTGTTTTTACTTCAACTTCTCATGAGAAATTTCAAAATTAAAGACAGTATTAGCCGAAAACAATATTTTATTTCATATTTGGTATGCGTTTATTATTACTTCAAGCCATCGGTCAATTCAAACAAACCCGCACCACAAAAGGAGAATCGAAAAACAACGGCCGCCATTCAAAAACCGTAATTACAGCACAAACACATCGGCTTCCCATCGATTCCTTTGAACCGTCCATCCTAATTATCGTTCTAACGCCGCGCAGTACCTTTGGGCAGGTACCGGACCGGCCGCGGCCGTCCAGCCGCTCGCTTGACCTTCTGTCGGAGATGGGAGATAGTCTCCGACACCTCTAACAAATTCGAAAACACCTCTGGACCCGATAATCATTTCATGAGCAATTTAAATTTACACACTTCTTCTTTATGTTTACTCGGGCCGCTTCTTTTTAATCAGCTGCCGAAGCCAGTGACGGCTCTCGATCCGTTTAGATATTTCAACGTGCCTCTGTTGGGATATTGGGAAATTCTTGAATTGTTTGAAAATGTCAGACAAAGGTGATTTATGAAATTAATTTATCTTCTTCGACTGGTATTTTCTTTATTATAAAATTTACACGACTTTTTACTTGCATGCATAACTAGTCAAAACGCAATGTAAAAAAATTACGAAATTTTAGGATTAGATATTTTACTCTACCTTGATGAGATAAACGCAATTTAAAAAAAATAATATGATTAACTTGCGAAAGTTTTAAATAAATAATCATTGATCCCTAATCAAAAAATATGAACAAAGTTCCTATAAACATGAGTATGGAAATGCATAGTTTTAAAGTTACAGGATGTTAAAACTTTTTTAAATTAGATTTTTCTAATTACCTTGAATACCAATATTTTTTAATTGAAATTGCTGTAGGTTGGACTATAATAACTAATTAATATTTAATAATAAATTAGGTAAAATACGAGTATATATTTTTTTATTTTTTTTATTTTAATTTTATTAATTGTGAAAGAAGTCAGTGGCGCACATGTTTTTTTTTTTAAAAATATTCCAGTGATAACCCAATCCTTGATAAATTTATTGACACTTTTTAGCATTAAAATATGTAGCACTTATATAGTAACTTTAACTCTCAAAATTTCATTTGAATCATTAAAAGTATTTGGAAGAAAATTATAATAACTCGAAAGATTATTAAGACCCTGTAGCTACGAAACAAAGCAGAATCGGACCCTATGTTGATTTGAAAATTACATCTTATTTTTACGTGAGGAATCTCCCCACGAGAAATGGCACATGTTTTTGAAACACCCTGTATCTAAATTATTTAAATATACTAAAGGCTAGCAAAAGTTAGTCTTGGGTCGAGATTTCCGCATGTAAGGAGGGTACAATGCGTTTATAATGTACTGAACAAAGAGAGGACAGTAAACACGTTGCCAAACGTACGAAATAAACCGAGAAACTGTGCACATCGCTAAGAGACGTGGAAGTACTATGTCAGTACTTAAAGTTCTATGGAAAGGTGTACGTCATGCGTTCAGCTTCACGATTTAATTATATCTCGTGTTACTTGATTTGTTTATTTATTAACGAGTCGTTGTAATTTTCCCTATAGCTTGAATTTTTTAAGTGCAAGCTAGAAATACTTGCATTTTGGTAAAAATAAGTGGAATTGAGTGGGTGTTCGATAGTGGTCGCGCTATTAGAACTCTGAATTCAAAAATCGATATCTCGAAATCTATTAGAAATAATAGATTGTAGTTTTTCAAGAACTTTGTTAATATATCTGCTGTATTTTCTTTGTAGACAGTATGTGAAAATCTTTATCAATAAAAAATTACACGATTGCTCAAAATTGCTATGCTCTAAAAGTAAATGGATAGATTGTTTACAATTTTTGAATGGAAAAACAACCTTATCGAATTTTTCTTATGTAAACATATTGTAAAATATCCGATCTTGAAAATAAAAAAAGTTTCAATATCTAAAGTGGTTCTTGAGTTATGGCTTGTTATGTGTTAAAAAGTTTTTTATCGTTGACTTAACGATATCCTTATAATTCCATTTCAGATGTTCAGAAACATGTCTGAAATGATTTTATCTAGTTATCTATTGAAAAAAAGTCTTTTAAAAATAAGCGGTTTGCGATCGTGATTTTAGTTTACTTGACAGGGAAAGGCGTA